TCCTGCGGAGACGCAACTCTGTAGTCCCACACATATTAAGTAAAAATTTGCTTGAACTGATCACTTAGACAATGGAGAGATTTCTCACTTCCTCGGTATAGAAAATAAGATTGAAAACCCACTGAAAGCTCTTCTATACAGATGATCGTCATAAACATGAAAGGAATGACAGAATTAGAAAATCACCACTTGCCCCTCACAGTGTAATAATTGTTTTGAGACAATTTTACCAGTGGGTAAAAGGTTGTTGGGAATCTGACTATTCATATGATGTTAAAGGATCACTCTACAGGTAACTTTTTAGTTACAAAGGGAAAACAGTGCTTTGATGGAGAGACCTGGCGTCTAAAGTGATCAAATTTAACATCACTAATAAGAGGACAGCCTGACAACATGCACCACCTGATATGATGCAACAAGAAAGTATAACATCACTTTTACATTATTTTTGGCCCCCCCCAAAATGATTATCTATCTCTACTCAAGAGGAAAACAAATTTAAAAAATCCACTTTGTAGGGCATTATGCAAGACAATTATCCTGAAAATCCTGACCCCTTAAAAAAAAAAACCCTCAATGTCATAAGAGACAAAAAGGAGGAGGGGAGGATTGTTCTTGATTAAAAGAGACTAAAGGGGCTTCCCTGGTGGCACAGAGGTTAAGAGTCCGCCTGCCAATGCAGGGGACACGGGTTCGAGCCCTGGTCCTGGAAGATCCCACATGCCGCGGAGCAACTAAGCCCACGTGCCACAACCACTGAGCCTGCGCTCTAGAACCTGTGAGCCACAGCTGCTGAGCCTGAGCGCCTAGAGCCCGTGCTCCGCAACAAGAGACGCCACTGCAATGAGCAATGAAGACCCAAGGCAACCAAAAATAAATAAATTAATTTTTTAAAAAAAGAGAGAGACTACAGAGGTGACAACCAGGTCAGTCAGAGCACACAGTGGCAAGGAGCCGGGGGAGGGGCATGGAGCCACCACGGGCCTGAATTTAAAAAAAGATGACAGCTAAAGGAAACTTTAATTGGATCCTGGATCCTGTGTGTGTGTATAAAAGTCATGTTACTTTCTCAGGTGTGATAAATATACTGTGATTATGTAGAAGACTAGATTCCTAGGGGATACATGCTTAAGTATTTAGGGGTAGAAAGTCATGATGTTTATAACGTACTCTGAGGTACTCGGAAATGGTTGAGAGAGAGAGAGAAAGAGAAAATGACGCAAAAATGTATGACAAAATGTTAACAATTGGCGCATCCAGGTTAGAACTTGGATATTCATTGCTCCATTCTCTCAGCTTCTTTTACAGATTTAAAATTTTTCACAACTTAAAAACAATATTTAATTATATCTTTGGTGAAAATGTTTCACAAATATGTGAGTACAATTTTCTGTCTCTATAATTTAATCTAATTTACTAATAATGATGATTCGGGATCCTCATATTACTCCAGGGTCTGAAAAATCACAAATTGTAAAGATTCATGGACATAGGGTGCTATAATAGGTAAATAGGTAGATACAGTCTAGTAATTACACGGGTTTTTTAATCCCAGATAAACCTTAGAATATTCTGTTGAGGTTTTCCTCCTAAAAGTGAAGGGCAAGGAGAAAAATGCTAGTTAACTGAAACATATGGTTAACTAAATTCCAACCAGGACAGCCATCCTCAGATCAGGTTGTGCACATCCCCTGGAAACCTGCAGTTCTGAGCACAGGCCTACCCAGAGCCCCCATTCCTTGCTTTTCCCTCCCTCTGCCATGGCAGTTCTGATCCTTGCTGCAGCCACTTGCTACCAACTACCTGCCTGAGATGCAGCCCAACTCCTGACCTACTCAGAGCCTCCAAAGACCTCTGGGGCCCTCCCACAGGTAGAGTAACTTGGGAGGGCCCCTTGAAGGGTCTCGGAGGTCCCTGCTACTGACATAAGTGCTGAATAGGAGAAAGTAAACCTGCTTCCCAGCTTGCTACTGGGTTTTAAATGCCAAAAGAAAACAGACCAGGGGACTTGCGACACAGACCGTGTTCTGCGATTTCTTTCCCCATTCAAGGCTGTTTACTTCAGGACAATTGAATGATTACTTTTCTGGCAGGGTTGAGGGTCTCTTGGACCAATTCCCAAGGATGATAATGGACCCCTACAAAGGGCCTCACCCTTGGGGCAGGGTGTGTGGTGGTGTGCTGGGCAGCAAGAAATACCAGGTACAGTATTTTAAGTACAGTGCTTCAGAAGACTTAGGGTTCGTTAACTTTCTGAAATTCCTGGTTTCAGGAAACTGTCCACAATATATATTTCCCTCATGACCTGTTATAACGCTTTTGATCTAGGCCACTATATAAATCTAAAACTTCCGTGCTGTTTCATTACATCATATTTTAGCACTCCCCTGATACATCAGGGTTGAACTCATCTAAGCACATACAACAGTCTCTTCTTCCAGAATGAACTGATTTATCCTTACTTTCATTAAGAATAAGACAAATGTGGTAATCCCATACCAAATGAGAAAATAAAGCTATCACACTGATGTGCTCATTCTGGAATGAATACAAAAAATGAATCATTTCCCTTTTGATATAGTATGTACATTCTGATTAACCACCATATAAAATGCCATGAAATCTCAGAAATTTTAGAAGCTAGATTTAATCAACAGGTTTTTACTTTTTAATTGGAATGGCTGAGGTCCTAAATAATTTGGAGAATATGAGACATACACGTTCACACAAAACCTTGAACAACAAACAGATCATTATCTGAATTCTCTCATGTCCCAAGTGTAATAACTTGCACTTTGCCTGAGGGACCTTCCTTCTTGAAGGCTGGATATTTCAAAGGAAAGGATTTCCCCTGCTACTTAACTGGTAGTTACAGTCAGGTCTCTGAAAATGAATTTGTGTGTGTGTGTGTGTGTGTGTGTGTGTGTGTGTGTGTGTGTGTGTATTTTAAGCAGTAGAAAAAAGTGTAAATCCAGGGAACTTAAATGCTTCAATTAATTGTATGCATGTCATTACAGTTTACATTGGGGCCTGGCAATATCCCAAGATTCATGCCCCATGACAGGTACTGCTGCTTTTACCACTGTCCTCAGAGAGTAAAACACTTTCACAATGAGAAGAACAGAGTTCAAGCCTGTTTTATGTTTGATTTATCTAACAGCACCCAGAATCAGATCAGGAAGAAAGCATGCCAGTTAAAGATATGGAAAGGAAAGAAGAAACACTAAAGTCTTTACTCTGATAGCCCCAAATCACCACCCTTAGGCATAATCAAATCATAAACTTGGATGGACACTGAGAAACAAATTGCATTAGAAGAGTCTTTCATTATCTTCTGATTTAAAGAAAAATCTGTGTTTTGTATCTTCTGATTCACCATGATAAGGTACAAGTACACAAATTCATACTTAAAAAGTAAAACAGCATTGGTGCTTAATTAAAATGGTATAAACCATACCCCAGTCATGGCTGAAATACAAAATTCGAGTTCTCTTTATGACTTAAAAGCCTTGTTTACTAGATCACAAGCAGAATTTTGTGCGGAAAGTGTTTGTGGCTCTGAAAATGGGCTGCTCTTAACACTAAGCTCAGCTGTACACGGAGAGACTCGCCAACTCCAGCTTTGGTGCCACACACTGTCCAAAATGGGGCGAGGGGGGATACACTCTCAAGAACACCAACACATTAATCAGCCCAGAGGAGGGTAGAATAATTATTAACCGGACCTCCTGCCCCTTTTCGAAAAGGGGCAGACGGTTGGCGCACACGGGAAAGGAAGAAAGAGACAAACAGCATAAAGAGAAACATCTCAGGTTAGAAAGAGGAGAAAAGCCAGGCCCAGTTAATTTGCTTCTGAGGATGCCCTGTGTCACCTGAAGTACTGCCAGCGGTGTTCATTCTGGTCCTCTTCGGAGGGCTCCTCGACGCCAACTCTGGGCAGCAGAAGAAGGGAACGTGAGTGTGACGGGGACAACAGGGGAACTAGGAGCTCTGGGCACATGACCTGGACCATGTCCATCAAAGAATAAAATCCGCACCCCCTCTTAAACTGTCCCCCTGTTCTCTAAAACCCAGAGAGGCTGCTAAATTTACATCAAAAGCAACAATGTTAGCAGCCAAGTCAAATGAGGATTGATTAGGAATGAAGACAAGCCTCTCAAAATATAACGTAATGAAATCAGAGTAATAAATGCAACTCATAGAAAATGATTTCATACAATTTTTCAGGAATTCATCTGTTTTATAAAGCAAGACACATCCACACAAAAACTAGAAAACAGAAAGTTGTTATTAAACATATATTTGAAGTGTTTATACGCAGTTTTACACATATTTGACAGAAAGAACACTGTATCACTGAAAACAGCAAAATCAGAAGATACAATGGCCTTTTTTTCTAGACAAGTAATCACACTGTCCATGGGTTGTACCCGAAGGTCAGGAACCCAACTTCTGCTATTCTCTTTACCTTATGGCTTCAAGAGTTGACACGGTCTATTTTCACCTCCCTTAATAACTGCTGGGTTATTCAGACTACATTTGAATTACACCATCATACTAAGAGCAGGGTTTCACAACCTCAGCACTACTGACTGACATTTTGGGCCCTGGCCTCTACCTGCAATATACCACCAGTAGCACCCCCCTCTAGCTGGAGCAACCAAAAATGTCTCCAGACATTGCCAAATGTCCTGAGAGGGCAAAACTGCCCATAGCTGAGAACCTCTACTCTAAGTCCTGCATTCTCAGTGGGGGGTGATATAGACCCCAGGGGCATGAAAATCGGTTCTTATGGGATAAAAAATTTTTTTAGATATTACAGTGGTTTGTAGCCCTCTAAAGCACCATAGTACATAAACAGATACATAGATCTGTGGTATTAAAATTTCAGTGGAAGAGGTAGATAAAAAGAACATTTTTAAAGGCTCTTATTCAGAGGGGCAGTGATGGAAAAAAAAGGTTGAGAAACACTGTGCTAGACAATGCCCAAATACTCATGCTACTAATATGCCCTTAAAAGAGCAAGTGAGAACATGATGCTTCTTAAGGTGGTACTTTTAATTAGGTATATGTTCAGAATGTGACTTAAACCAGACTATAGTATTGAAAAATTGTAACAAATTCCAGAAAAGCAAGCTGGATTCCATTAATGTAAGATTCACTAGTAATAATAATAGTAATAGCAGCAGTATTAAGGTTATGATTAGCAATGATAATGTCATAGCTAAAATACACTAAATGCTTTCCATGTGCCAGATGGTACATTTAATGGCAGAATTCTTTATCATGTTTATTTGGTATCACATTTTATCTTCACACTGTTGTCATCCCCATTTACCCAGACAGGAAACTGAGAGCAAGAGAGGTTAAATAAGTTGCCCAAGGTCACAAAGGTAGAAAATGATGGAACCAAGATTGCAGCTGAAGCTGTTAGATCCCAGAGCCCTAGCTCTACCCCTTACAGGATATTGCCTTTGACTACAAGGTGGCGTCTTTAAATTCTCTTAAAATATCCAGTAACAAATGCTATTACATAAAGATCTCAGGGCTTCTCCCTGCCTTTATTCCTTAATTTATCTTTAAAGAGCTTTATCTTAAACTCTCAATGTGACAGGATTATACCTAGCAGAGTGACCTTACTTGTCCTTGAGTGATTGTATTGCTGCACTCTGGAGTATGAAGGTTAGCCTCTTCATTTGGCTGCCTGGGTGTATGCCATTAATGCCCCACAATCACCACCACTTCATTGGTGTGTCACTTGAAGCTGGGCCTTCCAAGAGGACAGCCACCATGCCACCAAAATGTGCTCAGGACATAGATGAGGCTCATCTGCTGAATCTGCACATCTGATGGTTTTTTCAAGTTGCCAAAATTACAACCTTTGTGAATAACAACAACTTGCTCAAGACACTAAGAAAAATAGTATGTAGTCTGTATATTACCAGAAGGCAATTTGAAGTTTGTATATTACCAGAAAGCAATTTGAGCATTTTGCCATTATGTTTTAAAATAGCAATCACATGCTCAACATCACTAATTATTAGAGAAATGCAAATCAAAACTACAACGAGGTATTACCTCACACCAGTCAGAATGGCCATCACTAAAAAGTCTATAAATAATAAATGCTGGAGAGGGTGTGGAGAAAAGGGAACCCTCCTCCACTGTTGGTGGGAATGTAAATTGGTGCAGCCACTATGGAGAACTAAAAGTAGAATTACCATATGATCTAGCAATCCCACTCCTGGGCATATATCAGGAGAAAACTATAATTTGAAAAGATACATGTGGGAGTTCCCTGGTGACCCCTGTGGTTAGGATTCTGGGCTTTCACTGCTGTGACCCCGGTTCAATCCCTGGTTGGGAAACTGAGATCCCACAACCGTGTGGTGTGGCCAAAAAACAAAACAAAACAAAAAAATACACATGCACCCCAATGTTCATTGCAGCACTATTTACAATAGCCAAGACATGGAAACAACCTAAATGTCCATCAACAGAGGAATGGATAAAGAAGATGTGATATACGAACACCCCCCCCCACACACACACACACATGAGATGGAATATTACTCAGCCATGAAAAAGAATGAAATAATGACATTTGCAGCAACATGGATGGTGAATCACTTTGCTGTACTCCTGAAACTAACATAACATTGTAATAAATTAACTATATTTCAATTTTTTTTTTTTGTGGTACGTGGGCCTCTCACTGTTGTGGTCTCTCCCGTTGCGGGACGCACAGGCTCAGCGGCCATGGCTCACGGGCCTAGTCACTCCACGGCATGTGGGATCTTCCCGGACTGGGGCACGAACCCGTGTCCCCTGCATCGGCAGGTGGACTCTCAACCACTGTGCCACCAGGGAAGCCCTCAATTTTTTTAACGGTTAAAGAAATAATAAAAAAACAAAATAGCAATCACAAAATTCCAATTTAAAAAGATAAGTTGGATTTCTGGAAAGCAGTGACCTGGCTTTGGATTTGTGGTTATATTCATTTTACATTATACACAGACTAGAAATTAGCCATGGTTAAAAGCCATAGCTGGGCTTCCCTGGTGGCGCAGTGGTTGGGAGTCCGCCTGCCGATGCAGGGGACACGGGTTCGTGCCCCGGTCTGGGAAGATCCCACATGCCGCTGAGCGGCTGGACCTGTGAGCCATGGCCACTGAGCCTGCACGTCTGGAGCCTGTGCTCCGCAACGGGAGAGGCCACAACAGTGAGAGGCCCGCGTACCGCAAAAAAAAAAAAAAAAAAAAGTCATAGCTAACTTCTAATTATTTATGGAGGAACTCCAAGTCCTACCCTGGGCTTCTGACTTCTGGGCAGCCACTTAACAGCTGATCAGGACCTCTGTCAGCAGCCTGGAGAAGTAAGAAACAACTAGGTACTGATCTTACTGAGGTCACAGATGTCAAACCACACTGAACTTCAGGGGGTTTCCGAATCATTTTAGAATAAGAACCTGGTCCACATAAATGATTCGTGGCCATTAAGTAACACCATAAGCCCAAGCTACAAAAACCAATCAGTCTCATTACCTTATTTCTGAGGGAATTTCTTTTGATGTAATCTCCGTAAATGTCAGTTTCTACCTCAAACATATCACTATTTATAGGCATCTGAAAAAAATGCAATGAACTGACACCATATGTATTTTTCACCAAAGGCACACTTTGCTTCATTACACTATCTGGGTAGAGTTGGACAGAAAGAAGGAACTAATATAGAAGCAGATTGAAATTGAAAACAGAGAAACAATACAGAAAATCAATGAAATAAAAAGCTAGTTCTTTGAAATTGATAAACCTCTAGCAAGATTGAAAGAAAAAAAAAAAGAGAGAAGATGCAAATTACCAATACTGTGTCACGAATGAAACATGGGATATCACTACAGATGTCACAGGCATAAAAACAATAATAAGGTTATGCTATGAACAACATAAACATGACAATTAGATGAAAATGACCAATTTCACAAACTGCCACAACTCACCAATATGAGATACAGCTGTTAAAGAAACTGGCTTCATAATTTATATAATAAAACTCCTGGAAAAGAAGACTCCAGGACCAGTCGGTTTCACTGGAGGATTCCATAAAACCTTCAGGAAGAATTAACACCAATTCTAAACAACCTCTTCCAGAAAACAGAAGAGTAGGAAACATGTCCCAACTCATTTTGAGAGGCCAGATTACCCTGATACCAAATCAAAGGCAGGATGAGAAAAGAACACTACAGACCGGTATCCCAAATCCTTAACAACATATTAGTTAATAGAATTCAGCAGTATGTAAAACGTTTATTTATACACCACAACCAAGTGGGGTTTAACAAGCAAGGGTGGTTCCGTATTTGAAAATTACTCAATGTAACCTATCATATTAACAGGCTAAACAAGAAAAATCATATGATCATATCAATTGATTACAGAAAAGCATTTGATAAAATTCAACATCAGTTCATGATAAAACTCTCAGAAAACTAGCAATAGATGGGAACTTCCTCAACTTGATGATGAACATCTACAAAAACCCTACAGCTAACATCACACTTACTGGCGAAAGACTGAATGCTTTCCCCTTAAGATCGGGAACAAAGCAAGGATGTCTGCTCACATCACTCTTATTTAACATAGTACTGATGGTCCTAGCCAGAGCAATAAGTTAAGAGAAGGAAATAGCACACTGGTTGGAAAGGAAAAAATGAAACTGTCTCTATTTGCAAATGATCTGATGGTCTACATAGAAAGTTCCAAAGAATTTATAAAAACAAAAACAAACTCTCCTAGAACTAATAAGTGAAATTGGCAAGGTGTCACGATACAAGGTCAACCTTACAAAAACCAGCCTTATTTCTATATCCTGGCAATGAACACACAGAAAGTGAAACTGAAGATAGAATAACATTTAAAATAGCTCAAAACAAAGAAGAAATACTCAAGACCTAACTCTAACACACACAGGCATTCTATGCTGAAAACTATAAAACACTGCTAAAAGAAATCAAAGAAGACATAAATAAATGGAGAAACGTGCCATTTTCATGGATTGGAAGACTGAATAAGGTAAAGATGTCAATTCTCCCCAAACTGATATACAGGTTTAACACAATTCCTATGAAAATCCCAGCACAAGTTTTTTTTTTAAGATGTAGACAAGCTTATTTTAAAATGTATATAGAAAGGAATTAGGAGAGCTATGACAATTTTGAAAAAGAATAAAGTGGGAGGACCCACTCTGCCTGATGCTCAAGCTTATTATATAACCATAGTTATGAAAAGTGTGGTACTGGTGGAGGTACAGACACATAAATCAACAGAGCAGAATAGAAACAGACCCAAATACATACAGCCAACTGATTTCTGGCAAAGGAGAAAAAGTAATTCAATGGAGTAAGGACAGTCTCTCTTACAAATTGTGCTGGAACAACTGGATAGCCATAGTCAAAAAAAAAAAAAAAAAAAACCTCAACCTAAACCTCATGTCTAATATAAAAATTAACTTAAGATGGATCACAGATTTAAATGTAAAGCATAAAACTAAAAAACTTTTAGAAGATAACACAGAAGAAAATCTTTGGGACCTAGGGCTTGATGAAGAGTCTTTAGACATAACACCAAAACCATGATGTTAAAAATAAATAAATAAGTTGCATTTCATTAAAATTAAAAGTTCTGCTCTATGATAGACTGTTAAAAGGGTTAAAAGACAAGCTACAGACTAGGAGAAAATATTTGCAAACCACATATCTGATAACAGACTAGTATCTAGAACAAATAAAGAATTGACAAAACTCAATTAAAAAACCAAATAATCCAATTAGAAAATGGACAAAAACCTTGAACAGATATTTCACCATTGCTTATTTGAATGGCAAATAAGCACATGAAGAGATATTCAACATCATCAGCCATGAGAAATGCAAATTAAGACCACAATGAGGTATCCCCACATACCTATTAGAACAACTAAAATAAACAAGTGTCAACACCAAATGCTGGCAAGGATATGGGAGAAACTGGATCCCTCATATGCAGTCATTTCCTGACCTCTCACCATGTGCTAGCTGTTATGTTCTAAGTGCTATATATATCCCATTAATATTTTCACAATCCAATTATTATATGTGTACATATACAGCTTGCACACATCAGGGAAAGTAGCCCACACTCCCGGCTCTGGGTAGGACTACTTCAATGGCCCTTTTTTTTTTTTTTTTTTTTTGCGGTACGCGGTCCTCTCACTGCTGTGGCCCCTCCCGTTGCGGAGCACAGGCTCCGGACGCGCAGGCTCAGCGGCCATGGCTCACGGGCCCAGCCGCTCCGCGGCATGTGGGATCTTCCCGGACCGGGGCACGAACCCGTGTTCCCTGCATCGGCAGGCAAACGCTCAACCTCTGCGCCACCAGGGAATCCCCAATGGCCCATTTTTTGAAAAGGGTTATGAGAAGTGCAAAATGTCACAAGTCAACTGTCTACTCTCAGTGGAAAGTTATTTGGTCCTGTATGTGTTGGGGGGGGGCGGTCAGAAAAGAACTTATGAAATAGCCTGAAAAACAAACACGATTTAACCAGGCTCTGAGCATCCAGGGCACCTACTGGGTAACCAGATAAATAGGAGCAGGAAGTAATCTCAGAGAGGTCACCAAATGCAAAGGTTCTCAACTCTGTGCAGGGTAAACCTCCTTTCTTGCTCTTATTCTGCTACACAGAACAAAGATGATACCATCTTATGTCTCAAGTTTAAAGCCAAAAATCTGTACATTTTCTTCTTCAGATTTCTACTTCCACAGATGAATTATTTTCCTTAATATGACTCTTGAGATTCACGCCAGGAAACTGAAATTTTAATCATCCTGAATTTTACAACATGAAAACGGTCCCTAACACAGCAAGCCTTCCGGGCAGTATAGCACAGTAGCTAAGAGTGTGCCTGGGTTCAAATCCCAGCTTGCCCACTTAAAGCTTTGTGACCTTGGGCAAGTTATTGCTCTGTGCCTCAGTTTCCTCAGCTCTAAAATGAAAATAATAGTAGTAGCTCCCTTATAGGAATGCTATGAGGATTATCTTAATGTGTACGTGTTGGCATCTCAACCAACAACTGCAGCACAAACGTTAGCTACTGTAAGACTCTTACTGATAAGCCCACCCAGGTTCTGCAGACCCACTCAGATCTGAGGCTGAGACCCACTAACCCAGAAATGGTGCAGCTGGCAGTGGCCACGCCCAGGAATCCCTGCCTCCCATCAATATAAAAGTTCCAGAAGAGGGAGACTATTCTCTCAAATCCCAGTTTTCTCCCTGACCCCAAGGATGACTGCAAGATCCTTGTCGGTTTCTCCCTCCTCCAAGCTAGGTGTACTCCGCAGCTGTCAGCCCTGAGCAAACTAACAGCCAGCAGAGAAAGAAAAAAAAACATTGCCATCTTGTGGCTTTTCAGAGAATTCTTCACACCTATGCGCCACCCAAGTCTTCTCATTCCCAGCATGTTCACCCTTTGCAGATCTGAAACTGAGGCAAGTGGCAAGAGCACTTTCGATGACGCAGAGGACACACTTAGAGCTGCAGGGACCTGGAGAAAAGGTGACAGCACGCTTTTATTTAACGTGAAGGAATACGGAGGCCGAAAGACATGAGGAGCTTGTCTTAAACCAGGGTCAGAGTTAGGCTGTGGGTCTCCTGACCCCTGTTCCAATGTCCTCTTTACTGTAAGGTGCTGGAGCTCACAAGCACAGTTTGCAATTCAAATGCTCTTAAAAAAAATCAAACTTGGGTCAATGACCCTCCATGCTGACACAGCTACAAAACCACAGGCCAGGGATGTCCATGAGGCTGCAAGAAGTGAGGGTTAGGCAGGAAATGTCACCTCTTCTGTGCACTAAAGCAAGAAGAGACGCAGCATACAGTTTCCTCCTAAAACAAAACTCTAACGACCTCCCTTTATTTCCAGCTGATGAGCTTACTTTTCAAGGCCTTAGGTTTGATTTCAAAGTAATGTGAAATGCCAGACATTGCCAGCAGCTATGTCTATTCTCTCTCCTGCAGCTTTAAGACTTTTTGAATTCTTGCCCTAATGTCACGGCACTAGCAAGGTCCAAGTGTTTCTAATTCCTTGTGTTTTTGTACCCACAAACAGTTTAATGATTTTTTTTTTCTCGTGGAAAATTCAATACTCTGAATTTTTATTTACTGTTTTTTAATTTTTAATCCTTCCCCAAACAAAACAAGAAACTATAAAAGCCTTCCATGCACTAAGCTGTATGTAACACCCCCTGCACGGGAATAGTGACATAGTTAGACACAAAACTGGCCTTGGTTTCAAACCGACCTTATATTAAGCCATGACAACATGGGCGTCGTGCCTCCACCAATGACCCAGACGGTGAAGAAGACAATGAGGAGGGTGGTTGTGAACATCATCTGGCGTGCGTAGGATGCCGTGTCTCGAATGGCCAGTGCAAATGCCATCGCTCCCCTGAGGCCTGCAGGGACCAAAGAGGAAGCTGTCCTGTCATAAGGATAAATAACAATGTGTCCTCAAATCCACTGCTGCCACCTGGGGCTAATAAATTGTATCTGCTTATGCTTCAGGAGTCCAGCTGTTTTATACAGAAAATAACTTTAAAGGAATAGGATTTCCTCCTATTTGAAGTTTTATTTTGCAAAATGGCCAAATGCAATGAGAAAAACACTGCACCGCTTTGTATAGCACATTTTAGAATAATAATACTCTTTTATTACTGAAATAATTCTCCTGCTAATAACATGAACCAAAAAGAAATATAAATAAGAAATAATCATATAAGCTCTCTAAGTCTGTAATCCAAGTACTACCCAAGCACTATACAGTCATTATAAACTTAAGAAGCAGGCTAGGTATGAGTATGTGAAATGCACAAAACAGCTCAGCATTTCCTTAGCAAAGCCAAGCCAGAGAAGTAACAATATAACCTGATCTATGTCAGGAGTTGGTGAGTTTTCTGTAAAGTGTAAGATACTATTTTAGGCTTTGTGGGCCAAGAGGAAAAACCAAAGATGTTATGTACATTCTCCCTTACATAAAAGGGAGAAAACCAATTTCCACAAAATTTTACTGACAAAAACCAAGAGCATAATAAGTACTATAAGTATAATATATAAGTGCCATGTTATAAAACTATAATAAGTAATTATAATAAGTAATAATTATTATTATAATAATGAGTTCAATTTATTGTAATCCAAGTCTACTAGTGAAAAGAACGGAATTCTTCTGGGGGTGGGAGATTTCAGTTAATTGGGTTTCAAAGTTAGTGTCCCCTATCATCAAATAGGTTGCAAATATTCATCTGTAAAAGCCATTCTTAGCCCGTGGGATAGACGAAAACAGGCAGCAACCAAATTTGCTGACCCCTGGTCTACAGCCACATTTTTATGTTCTAGAGCTTCTCTTTCTAAGCTCTTTTGTTCCTTCCCCATACCATGCTCCTAATTTGTTCTATAGTAAAGCCTTAATCCATGGTCTTTAATACCTATCTAGTATAAATTCCTATTCACCATGGGTAAGACTGTGTGTATATTATGAGAATGAAAAATTAATACTCAGTATATTTATTCACATATTTTCCCTTTTCCAATAATTTCACAATTATTTTCATTAACCTGAGAACTTCACAACAATTCACTAAAGAAGAGTGATTCAGTAACATGTACATTAAAAAACAGAGCAAAGCTGATGTTCTCTATTAATCTGTCCTAGTCAAATTTTGACACACATCTAGACCATCCTACAGCCAGCTACAACACCACTTAATATTTAAACCTTTAAATGGATGTTGTCTCAAAGAAGAAAACTTGAGGGCCAGAGAGAGACAACGTGTGCTCCATTCTTCTTTATTAGGTAAACACTGTAAGCAATATGAAGGTGAAACCTCAGGTATTTCTTTCATAGCCTTGAAGAATGAGTTCATTTTGAAAGCCAGATTTCTCCCAGCAGAAAATAATTTTGATAGGAGATATCTTTAAACAGCACTGTGTACTTCTCAGTCTTTTAGTACAGAAGATAATGAACACACTTAAAAGTTTATCTAGGTGACTGAGCTATCTCCAATTAATCTTTCTCTTTCCACTGGCATTTTTCTAATATGTATGGACGATCTGGTCTGTCATTGCCCTCCTCAGAAACCTCTGTTTCCCAGCTTCTCTTGGATAAAAGCACAACTCTTTGGCATAGCACTAGAGCTTCTCCGTGGTCTAGACTCCAGCAATGATTCTCGAAGTGTGGTCCTCAAACCAGCTGCAGCAGCAGCAGCAGCTGAGAAGATGTTAGAGATGCAAATTCTCAGGGCTCACCCCGTACCCTCAGAATCACATTCTGGTGGTGGGGCCCAGCAATCTGCTTTTAACCGGCCCAATATGTGATTCAGATGCAACCTGAAGGCTTGCGCCAGTTTACACGCAATTTCCCTTTCCAACCTCACTCTCGTTCTGCATTATCCCATGTGTCTCACATTTAAACCAGACTGCTACCCTTCCCTGAAAAAGCCACACACAGCAATGCTTTCCTGCCCTTCCAACCTGCCACCTCCTGAAATGCCACTGCATCCAAGTCCAGTTCAAAGGCTACTCCTTGGTGAAGATGGCCCTGGGCCCTGCTTTTCTTTTGTGCAATTCACTAGCCTCTCTTGTGCAATTCACCAGCCTCTCTTGGGAGAAACTTAGCTCTTTGTACACCTGTCGCCCCCCAGTGGACTGTGAGCTCCTGGAAGGAGGTGGGTTTCTGTATCCTCCACAACCTTGAAGTGTGACTTATATAATGAGGATGCTCAACAAATGTGTGTCAGAGTGAAAGGAAATCATTAAGGCGGGCTGTGTACTTAAGTGCAGATGCAAGCAAGGACTAGACAAAGCAACTGCTTTGCTGAGCAGTGCCTGCTGGTGTGATTTCAGTATGACTCTCTGAGGCCTCCAAGAACTACTGTGTGGCAGTAAAGGGCTGCTACTCACTTTGCCTCTTGTACAGCCTCTCCCCCTTCCCGGACAGAGGCACCTTTAAGGGTCACGGTGGCCTTTTGCCTATCTCCTCCCTCTGCTCTACAGAGATGCTCTTACTTGGGTCTCGTCTATAAAGTCGGATGCTTTCCACTCTCACTGCACCATCTACCTCATGCCAATTGCTCTCTCCTTTCTTATCTCCACATATTTCTTTATTGTCCTTTGTCCCTTCAGTGGCTTCTCCACTCTTCTCAGCTTTGTAGTGAAGAGGAAGCATTTGGGAGACAGTGTAAGTCAAGCAGAATTATCACAGCTGTTGTCTTCCAGTCTGGGGTTCATCTTGCTAATGTGAGTATATTTTATTTCTTTTACTCCATAGAAAGTTAATAAAACTCATTTTATTTACTTTTTTTTTTTTTTTACCTGAAAACATCATCATGTGTTGAAAATTCCAGCCAATCTTGTGCCTTCTGCCCAAGTTGAGGAAGAAGGAGAGCGGGTAGATGTGTGCAGCTCTTCCCAGGAAGATGGCAACCTGGCCGCCAGGTGGAGGTTAAGGGCCCAACAGGTTTCCAGGATGGCACTTTCACACAACCTGTGACTGAGCAGAGAATTTTAGGAATGCCATGACACCTTGCTGTGATCAGGAGAGTTGTACAGAGAAGGCAGGCTGTCTCATTTCCCGCCAAACAAGTCTCAGCAGCAAGTGGGATTCCACTGGCCAATTTTCCCAACCTCCTGGCTCACAGAGACAATTTTTGGCCTGTTAAACACACTGTTGTAACTTCTTGATTTGATTAAACTGATATGGACCAAGTCTCCGACCTACCTAAAAATGAGTCCAGAAATAAGCTAAGGTGCCGTGGCTGGGGTGGGGAGTTAAAAGAAGCAAAGAGCGTGCTGGACTCTATTGGAAGAAAAAAAAATCACAAGAAGAAAAAATTACTAACCCCTGAGTCAAACTATAAAGAGAAAGCTTGGTGGGTGAGCTTGTAAGCTTTGGTTGGAAGTAAACATCAGGGGTTTGTATGACCAGGAAGATACTACAAATAAGAGGTGGACTTACAGTATTACTACCATGAAGACATATTCATATTCCTCACAAGGATCAGCCTGGGGAGATTTCTCTGCCTAAGTGGCTAACATATCTTTCGGGAGGTAAGAGATGGAAACGGAGGAGTGTGGAAGAGGAACTCTTACTGTGCAAACCAAAGAATTCAGGGAAACCAGTCATTCGTCACTTGCTGAGTTTAGAACAGAGCCCAGCAGAGAGATGCACACTGCCCTGGTCATAGGAGGAAACCACTGGGAGCCAGAGGAACAGGGAGCTTCCGTTTCGACCAGCCGGAGCTGCAGCTGTTTCAGACAGAAGCGAGGGCGGGACTGTCTTCTGCCTTCTCTAGGATAAAATACTAACTACTTTTCTTCTTTTCTCGCTCTCTTTTTTTTCCCTTTTTGCTATTGTTTTGTTTTCTTTTTCACAGAAGGAAAGAGGTCGTGCTTATAACATTCTTTCCCAGGAGCCACGCATAAGTCCGCAAGTGGAAGTGGCCTTCAGGATTCACAGAGGCCCCGGCTCCCCCTTGAACAAGGCCCCCGTGCTGTGAACAAGGCAGCACTCTCACTATCTCTCACAGGATGCCGTGCTAAGAATACAAATCAAAATGACATGCCAGGTCTTTCTTAAGAATAAAAACACTGATCCGCTGGATCTTTAGCTCTTGGTCTGTTGAGTGTGTAAATCTAAGAAATGAGCCCCAGTTGAAGCAGATAATACTGTAACTGGCAGGACTCTGGCATGGCATTAGGCCACTGTCGCTCTCTAGCTGCTTAGTGAGTATCATTTATACCTGCACAATAAATGAGAAGCCCAGAAGAGAAAAATACTCCTTTTTGGGCAGGCCAGCATCCCAAGATCTAAGGATACCCATGAGACCTCAGAAAAGGCAAAAGGGAATAACCAGCAATAGTGGACTCCTGCTCAGAATTTGGAACACCAGGCTGAGCTGAACTGCTATAGTTCCAAGGCCCAGAAGAGTTCACTTTAACGAAAACAATAAGGATCTGAGGCCAACTGAGCAAAGCCCTCAGCTGTCCATGTACTGCTGGGCATTCGTATCTCTCCTCACTTGAGAGGAGCCAACCCCCAAAACTGTGTCTCTCTTCCAAAAACTGCTCTCACGATGGGACTAAATCAAAGAACCCAGTATTTCTCCATTTCATCTGCCCTTCCTCTCCATTTCTTTTTTTTTTTTTTTTTTTTTTTTTTTGCGTTAAAGAAAAGGGTCACCAATACGGAAGCTTGGGTGAAAGCGTTCACACTGCCTGCAGGCTGCCCTGGGCGGCCAGAGGAAGGGCTGCTTGCAACCACGTGCAGCTGAGAGCAAGAGACACAGAACCTTCAGGTCTTCCAAACGGGGAAGCTCCTGGATTGGAATTCACGTGGTGATGAGAAAAAAACAATTTGGGGGACTGATACAGGTTGCTGATTTTTAGCTCTGCTAGGAAGGGTGCTTTAAAAAACAAACTACCACCTGCCAATCACCAGTGTAACAGAAAGGCCACCTTACACAGAAAATGCAGAAAGGGCAACCCTAGAATCAACACCGGTCCTTGAAATCAAATACACTTAGCTTTATATTTACCACTTAAGCCTTCTTTTTCTCATCATAAAAATACCATGAACCAGTGCTGGCTCAGTCACCTCCCTGCCAAACCAGAAATTATTGTTGTTACAGCTTCCGCAGCAGTGGTCATCTTTCCGTGTAGAAAATGGGGGAACCAAACAAAGGATACAAAAGCTCCAATGATGAAAACGGGGCTGAAAACGTGCTTCTGGAAGGTAAACAGCGCCAGGCCCATGTAGGAGAAGATGAAGTTCTCTGCCAGGAAGTGTAACACCTCAAAGAGCTGCACGAAAAGGGAAAAGGAAGCCGTAAACCCTGTGGGTCCCCTCCCTTGTATTCGCAGGTCACTTGTGGGGACACAGGTCTCTCCCTCACCTGCTTCGTTCGACTTCTTGATTCCACCGACAGATTGTTGTAGGTGTAATGAGCTTGTGTGATTCCACAGAAAAGGACAGCTACAACGCCTGGCAAGAGAGTTTAAAAAAAAAAAAAAATCAATGGAGGGAAAAAAAGAAGCAGAAAAAAATCCTACCTGAAACAAAAAGTTAAGGTAGTCAAGCCCAGCATATCCAACTTCCTGAAAGTTTTTGAAAATTTCCTATTACTGAAAGCTCCCTCTGCCCACACTTCTCATATCAACCTTTGCTTCTCCCAACCCTGCCCTCCTTCAAAGACAAGGCCACTGATTTACCCCTTGTTCCAGTTTTAAGAGCATTCTCTCCCCTCTTCTAAACTCCTACTGAATTGGCCATCTCTATATGGCATGGCATTTAGCATTCATTCCCTCAAAGAGACTGTGAAGTGTGCACCCATCACACACTTTTGTCATATTCCTCTGTTCACTGAATGAATCAATTTAATTTCAAACCAATGCTTTATATTTTTGCATGGTCCAGGGCTTCAGACAAAATGGATCCAGAGTACTAGTCCAATTATCCTGGCCCTGATAATCTAGATTTCTGGTCAACGGTGACTATTTTGTTGTGTAAGACAATTAACACACCTGGGACTTTGCCTATATATTTACAGATGATTGTCAAGTTTTAAAGGAAGTGGGGCATATAAAGATATGCTGCAATATTTTGAAAAGACGATAAAAAGGACTTCTGAATTACCTGGATTATGTATATATAGTAACTGTACTTGAGTTTTCTAATAGAAAAATCCAATGATTTATTTTTTTCAATGAGGGAATGTGAGGAACTAAAACCACATGATCACTCACACTAATAATCTATGAAACGGGCACCATAAAAACACAGTATTGAAAAGCAATGATTAAACAGACCAAAAACAAAACAAGGAAAAATTGTGCTCACACTCATCTGAGTAGAAGCAAAATTACCTTTAAAAGGATATATATTTTGCTTGTTATTGCTACTGTTTATAAAATAACGAAGCAATCCAGGGGAGGATACAAATAAGGTGTTAATATATTCAGTAACTTTTGCAGCTAAGTATCTACTTATAGTTAGAATGAGTACTCAAAGATGTAACTGAGTTTGAAACAATAAAGCTTATCCTTTAAAAAATATGTAGCTCTGGGAAACTAAATTATTCATAAGGCAGACACCAGCCTTGCTCAGCAGTCCTCCATATGGACACTCCGTGAGTGGTTTATCAACTCTGGGCAGCAGCTATTTAAGAATTCTTCGCTCCCCTCAAGCTCCCACAGCCTCCGCCACAGTGAGGGGAAGGGTGGCCAAGGGCAGAGGAAACCCACCGGTAAACCCACAGGCTTCTGCCAAGAGGAAGGTGCTCCACGACATCAGGAAGAAGAGCGCCGTCTCCAGCAGGGGGAAGCAGTGCAGCTTGGTAAACTTGGTCACGTCAGCTCCTGTCAAGGAACTGTCTCCAGCAACAAGCATCAGGGTCACCGAGAACCACACTCTCTTAGCCCAGGACCCCTCCCTAAGGGCTACCCTTTCCCTTCAGCTCTTCCTTTGGGGCCCCAGAGCTGCTGCTTGGTTTTGAAAGTAAAGAAAATGAAGCTTCCCAGTAGAATAGAGGTTTCCAAGGGCTGGGAGAGGGGAGGATATAGGGATCATATTGTTTAATGGGCACACATTTTCTGTTGGGGATGACGAAGAAGGTTCGGGAAATAGCGGGGATGGTTACACAACACTGTGGATGCACACCTAAGGCCACTGAATTGTACACTTAAATGGTTAAATCTTAACCTGTGGAAGGCTTGCCTGCTCATTCTGCACTTTGCTTTTGTGTTGGTTGGTTTGTTGGTTGGTTGGTTTTTAAGTCAATATTGTGCAGTCCTCGGCTTAAGGAAGGCCACCTTGCTGTAATTCCCCCAGATAGTCCCTGGCTACTTACGGCCACGTTAGCCTCATATGGCCTGGAACAGTGGACAACAGCAGTCAGGCTGCGGCTAAAGTACTTCACAGCCTGCTTCCTCCCAGCCTCCTGAGAGGTGGTCCCTGATTCCCAGCCTCCTCCTGGCTCTTCCACTCTTTCAGCCCCACCCCACCTCCCAAAAAAACTGACACTTCCCCCAAGCTCCTATCTCCGACAGGTTTATAGGAAGGACAGAAAACACAAAGGTGAGGACAGAGCTAAGCCAAGAGCTACACTCTCAAACATTTTCTCAAACTCTTAGCTAGGCCATCAACTGTCATGTTTCACCAAAGGGTGACATTTCAGGAGCTCCCAGCCCCCAGTGGAACAATGAATTTAAGATTCATTTCTGAAAGGAAGAACTGAGAACTTTCTTTTCCCAAGTGCAATGCCACATAGTCATACTTAGGCAGGGGCAGAAACTACAAAAAGGATATTAGAGCAGTCACAACACCAGTCACAGCTCCCATGGTAAAAGAGCCACTAAATATACCTAGAAAAATGCCAACTGACTTAAAAAAGGCAGCAGCATCAAAGGCGTGAGTGTTCAGCCCCGCTGGCTGGTAGGCAACAATAGACCTGGAGTTTAAAGAGAGAGTTAAAAAACGCTAAGCTGGTTTTACACCATGGTACTTACAAATATCGACAAACATAGGTATCTACACTCTGCAGAGCACTCCCCGTGGTGTATTCATTTAATTTAATCTGCAGTCACCATGTTATGATGGTATCGGCATTC